GATGGTGTTACTTACCCATAATAGTGTCGAGGTGAAATAAAATGAGAGCTAGCATGTACTGAATCATATTTACGTCCTTCTCTGCCATCAGCATGGGTCACTGTAAGATAGAACGCTGTGTTAGGAAGTTAGGATACTGTCAAATATGGAGCCGTGTTAAAAACAGAGCATGTAAAATAATATAATATTCGTAAGGCTATTAACGTTAGTGATGGTGTTGTCTTGAGGTGAATGTGGTTAAACTTTCACCGCAAAGTGTTCAAGTTCTTGAATATACGATGTGGTTCACTGGCTTCTGCTTGCTAATGAATGTTAAGCTGCAAAACTCAACAGAAAAGAAAGCCTTAGACTGCAAAGACATTCATATCAGATTTATAATGAGTCAATTTTCGAGTAACCTTATTGGTAACAACTCGGAAATCCTTTTATGGATATTTTAGTTTCTACATAGAGATTATATACGGCATTCCTGGAATTCAGTAAATGGGATCCAGAATCAAGAATCCCAAGATTTTAGAGGCGATACTGCTGCTGATCAAACTGATATTGTTTGAGAAGCGATGAGCAAGACATCTTGCCAATATTGCTTGATCAATCTTGCCGAAAGAAAGCCAGCAGTAATATAAGACATAACTAGAAAGCAGTTCAAGAACACTAAAAGTGCTAACAGAGACCTAGTTTGAAGGGTGCCACAAGATTACTACAAGAACTTTACCAGATGATGATTTAGGAGCTGGATCACATGCGACCAAACCATAACGTAAGTAGTTGCAGAAATGAGCAATCAGACCTCAATTAAAATCTTCCGGTTAGATAATTAAAATAAGCACCCAGTTTGACGGTAGGTTTGATGGCACGTTTAGCAGTTGTGACGCAAACACCACCGACCGCACGTGAATCACCCAAGCATGAAGTGTTAGCCGGCGGGAAACAGAGCAGAAGGAAATTAGGGCGATGCTTTGTACTAAATCTACTGTTCAATGTAACGGCTAAAGTACACAAGAAGGCTTCAACTAAAGCTTAACGGTATTTGAAAGTTTAAGAACATCTTTATTAAAGTTTGAATCAGTTTAATATATGTGTGTCCGAAACACGCTTATTACCGCAAAGTTTAAGTAATACTCACATCAAGAACTCATGATTAGGTACGAAGCAGAAAGCCGATAGCTCATAAATAAATTTGAAATACGTATTCTCAAATTTCCTGGACACACTACGTATTTTACACTTTTAGCTGAAAGAACATTTGGCAACTATTCTCGAGAAAAGATTCCTTCCTACATAGAAAGTTTCTTGAAACCTTACGGATTGCATATATCGCACGTTTCATGGATAATGAAGTCATTAAGCGCTGAAGGGTTTGTAACGTATGTGAAAATGTATGTGAAACATATGTAACAGCCAACATAAAACATGGAATGAAGAGGACTCTTTCACGCGTTTCGAAGCTGCTGTCTTATAGTTATCACACTTCAAACCCTTGTAGCTCAGGGATTGGATGTTGCAGCATGGCCATTGGCCAGCCCTACGACAAATGTGAAAATCTCAACCCTTGCATACAAATTCGGCTGTAGTAACAGTGTTTAACAACGACAACTTATTATTTGCAAGTATAACTTAAAATCCTGCAGGAGCAGCATGTGTAGGGCGTTTCTTTCTGACTCATGCTCGCATAACGTAAGAAAACTAACTTTACCATAACCAAACACGTAATCATAGCGGAATGGAAAACTTAAAGGTTTCTTACCATCAAGATCGTCCTCTTTGTCTTATTTATATGAAACAATACCTTGTAGAAGTATTGACACTCCGATCACTAAAATACCCAACACGTCATTTTACCGAAAGTAAATTTATCCAACCAGCATGACATAACTCTCTAATTCCCTACTTCAGAGTTTGTAAATATTTTGATCACTTTGCCAACTTATTCGTTGCTACCTGTGGCATGGGCTTCTTGATTTTTGGCACAAGGTCGCATATTTTGAATTTCTAAAGAATGAAATGATGAATATTATAAAGGTGTAATGTTATTACCTAATAACATAAGCACCTTTAGCCCTTTATTAAAAATGATCCAATATTTTTTACCGATCAAATCCATTTTTGATCGAGCAGGTCCTCCGGTTTTAGCAGTGATCTTACCACCAACAAATACATACAAATCTTGAAAACATGACCGGCCGAGCGATAGAAAGAAGCCTAATTGATTTAAGTTTCATACGATACCATGTGGGAGGTTGGTATGCATGATTGATGCTAACGAGAGACTGGGGTAGGTCACGTGACTACACTAAAGCTCATCTGGCGTTGCAAACTGAGGGTTTACAACCAAGCAAATAGTAAACAAAGAATCTAACAGTGTCACAGTAAGTAAAAGAGTGGGTTCTTTATTCCCTGACTGAAACTCGTGATGTTGAAGAAGACGACTTCTTCTCTCCAACCAATTACCTTCAATCTACGAGGGTAGGTCACGTGACTACACTTCAATCTACAGCACGCCTCAAACCTTCCCCGTACTAGGACCCATCCGACTCCCGCGGTCCCCAAAACGATTGAAATGCATACTAAACTAATAGGTAGTTTATATGAGTAGACAACAGTTTACCGAACTAGCCTTAATGCCAGTTAGGTAATACAGGCTGCGTTAAGTACGGAGATTACGACACTAGTAGAGTACTCAAATAGTTGAAGGAAAACTAAAAATACAACTATGATGGGGTGGGTGTGGTAACCATAGTAACCAGCTCAGTAACCATAGTAACCAGCTCAGTAACCATAGTTACCAGCTCAGTAACCATAGTAACCAGCTCAGTAACCATAGTAACCAGCTCAGTAACCAAACAACACTAAAAATACAACTATGATGGGATGGGTGTGGGGAGGATGAGTAACCAAAAGAAAAGGCTCACGAGTGTAGTGATCCATTGTCTATATATGATAATATAATAATAGCACTATCTATAACAGAAAGTTTCCGCAAGTTATCAGTTCAGATATTTATCTAGGTGACATAATTAGCTGCAACAAAGTATTATTGCTTCCGGTAAGAAGGGTAAGAATATACTTCATTGTGCCTGGCATCGCCTGACAGAGAGTGGTCCCAACTTTTGGGTTAATAGTTAGCGAACTCTGTGGCACCTACATACGTGAGCATGAAATAGCTGATCAGTGATCACGGACTTTATCCTCACGTTATACTAGCGCTTATTGCGGATACTACTGGAAATGAGACTGGATGATTAGAGACTTAGAGAGAATATGTAGGTAACTTGTAGGGGTGATTGATAAACAGATGGATAACAAGTTTCTAACAGCTCGTCCTATCTTATTGTGCTGATAAACAGATGGATAACAAGTTTCTAACAGCTCGTCCTATCTTATTGTGCTGATAAACAGATGGATAACAAGTTTCTAACAGCTCGTCCTATCTTATTGTGCTGATAAACAGATGGATAACAAGTTTCTAACAGCTCGTCCTATCTTATTGTGCTGATAAACAGATGGATAACAAGTTTCTAACAGCTCGTCCTATCTTATTGTGCTGATAAACAGATGGATAACAAGTTTCTAACAGCTCGTCCTATCTTATTGTGCTGATAAACAGATGGATAACAAGTTTCTAACAGCTCGTCCTATCTTATTGTGCTGATAAACAGATGGATAACAAGTTTCTAACAGCTCGTCCTATCTTATTGTGCTGATAAACAGATGGATAACAAGTTTCTAACAGCTCGTCCTATCTTATTGTGCTGATAAACAGATGGATAACAAGTTTCTAACAGCTCGTCCTATCTTATTGTGCTGATAAACAGATGGATAACAAGTTTCTAACAGCTCGTCCTATCTTATTGTGCTGATAAACAGATGGATAACAAGTTTCTAACAGCTCGTCCTATCTTATTGTGCTGATAAACAGATGGATAACAAGTTTCTAACAGCTCGTCCTATCTTATTGTGCTGATAAACAGATGGATAACAAGTTTCTAACAGCTCGTCCTATCTTATTGTGCTGATAAACAGATGGATAACAAGTTTCTAACAGCTCGTCCTATCTTATTGTGCTGATAAACAGATGGATAACAAGTTTCTAACAGCTCGTCCTATCTTATTGTGCTGATAAACAGATGGATAACAAGTTTCTAACAGCTCGTCCTATCTTATTGTGCTGATAAACAGATGGATAACAAGTTTCTAACAGCTCGTCCTATCTTATTGTGCTGATAAACAGATGGATAACAAGTTTCTAACAGCTCGTCCTATCTTATTGTGCTGATAAACAGATGGATAACAAGTTTCTAACAGCTCGTCCTATCTTATTGTGCTGATAAACAGATGGATAACAAGTTTCTAACAGCTCGTCCTATCTTATTGTGCTGATAAACAGATGGATAACAAGTTTCTAACAGCTCGTCCTATCTTATTGTGCTGATAAACAGATGGATAACAAGTTTCTAACAGCTCGTCCTATCTTATTGTGCTGATAAACAGATGGATAACAAGTTTCTAACAGCTCGTCCTATCTTATTGTGCTGATAAACAGATGGATAACAAGTTTCTAACAGCTCGTCCTATCTTATTGTGCTGATAAACAGATGGATAACAAGTTTCTAACAGCTCGTCCTATCTTATTGTGCTGATAAACAGATGGATAACAAGTTTCTAACAGCTCGTCCTATCTTATTGTGCTGATAAACAGATGGATAACAAGTTTCTAACAGCTCGTCCTATCTTATTGTGCTGATAAACAGATGGATAACAAGTTTCTAACAGCTCGTCCTATCTTATTGTGCTGATAAACAGATGGATAACAAGTTTCTAACAGCTCGTCCTATCTTATTGTGCTGATAAACAGATGGATAACAAGTTTCTAACAGCTCGTCCTATCTTATTGTGCTGATAAACAGATGGATAACAAGTTTCTAACAGCTCGTCCTATCTTATTGTGCTGATAAACAGATGGATAACAAGTTTCTAACAGCTCGTCCTATCTTATTGTG